TCTGAACATGTGTCTAATGCTCTTCTGAAAGACCACTAAACCTATGTTTAAAAAATCTAGCTCAGAGGTAAAGGTGCAGAATGAAGCAGGAGGGAGTTATCAATAACCAATGAGCCCCATCCTGAACTAGTGCTCCAAAGGAATGGCATGCTTGCAGCAACTGAGCAAAGAGTCCAGGTCTGTTCTTCTGTGGTTGGTAGTGCTGGAAGTACCTGGTGGACAGCCCTGGAAAACATGAAATTATGATTAGCCCATGCGTAATAACAGCAACCATCCTGATACCACTTAGTGATGCAAAAGCAGAAAAAGGCAGCCCCAATCTTCTCTGGCCCGGGCAATGTGATTAAATAAACAGCTGCTGTATGACATTGATCCTGGAAGCATTGACTGGTCAGAACAACAGTTGTACTACTTGTATACAAAGCCTCAGAAATAATAAAAGTAGTAAATTAACTTTAAAATATGGCTGTGCAAAACTCCCTGTCAGCATAAGGAGCAGAAAATCTGTAATACACCCAATGACAACATAACTGCACACACACAGTTAGCAGAATCCAGCTCTCCCTCTTGGTTTCAACTGATCTTCTGTGTAGTTCAGACTAGTGTTGTTTCAAAAAAGCACTAAGCCCAGGTCTTATCGTTTTTCAGAGAGTGCTAAAATTGTTTATAAAAACAATAAAAAATACTGTATAAAAAACTCTTTATAAAAAGAGCCTGCATCAGATCTGAGAAGCTCATGAAACTAGTGTATGGGAATTAGAGATCAGACATCGTATGGGCAGACAGAAGCCAACTGTCTGGTCTTTGCTGCGAGCCAAGTCAAAATAGCCACAGACGGCAGTGCCCAACAATTGGAGCACAGCAGGGAAGCATGCCCATAGTAGCTTAAATTAACCAATAGGAGCTGGGCAAGTCTTAGCCCTTGACTATGTCAATGAAGCATCATAAATCATGCCCATAGCAAAAGTTATGTTGGGAGAAGAGGGAAAACACTCCTCTTAAAACTGGAATAGCTAAAGACTACTTTAATCTGCTTCAGACAGAGGCTGGGGGTGAAAAAAAAAGACAACATAATTAATTGGGAACGGCTACTCATTTTAATTTTAACATCTGCATTCTAAATTTCATAGATGGTAAGACCATCTCTATTATATAATGTCTGGTTTATAACTCCTCTGACTCCTGTAGTCTCAGGAAAGACAGGAATAAACCAGGGGTATCGGGGATGGGGTGGGGTGGTGATTGTGACTGTGCAATCAAAGCCTTGCCCATTTTTACATGCAGACTCTCCTGGAATGAATTGTAAAAATATATGGATTCATACTTTGTGCTAACCTACAAAGAAGTCATTGTGGTTTGTAAACTATATTATATGACTTAATATATTGTGTGAACCCAGCCAATGTGGTTTAAATCAGCAACCTTGACTAAAACAAGCCATAGCTTAGTACAAATTAGCTATGAATCAAGAAATTGTTTTAAAACTCTTTAAAACTACATCTGCTGCGTAATTACTAGAGCTTTAGAAAAGCTCTTCTCCCCAAGTTCAGTTCTCCCAAATGCTACATGAAGGGAATCTATATTTTTTTTTATTTAGTTTCATTACTGAATTTAAATTCTGCCTTTCTGTTTATTACAACACTCAAGGAGTCTTACAACCATGAGGCACAGGTTATAAAACATAACAAAAAGCATGCCATTAAAATAAAACAATTCAGAATTGTTTAACAAGCAGTTCAAAACATTCTGCAAGGAAGTGAAACTGAAGATTGGTTAACATCTGGCAAAACCTACCTGATAATGAAAGATCCTACAAAAGGAGCAGCACCAGGCAACTACAGGCCAACTACCTGCTTGCCAACAACTTTCAAATTGCTAACTGGTGTGGTAGCTGATGCAGTCCAACAGCATCTAGTTGAAAACAAGCTCTTTCCACCTCAGCAAAAAGGAAAGTGTCAAAACAGTAGAGGAACAAAAGATCAGCTCCTAATTGACAAGACGATTTTGGAAAACTGCAAGAGAAGGAAGACCAGCTTGAATGTAGCTTGGATTGTTTACAAGAACGCATTCAACTCCCTGTCACATGATTGGATAATCAAACGCCTAGAAATAACAGGAGTCAATAGAAACATCGGAAGCTTTGTGCAAAGATCAATGGCATAATGGAAGACACAGTTGCTAGTCAGTGGTGAT